TAATTGCATTCCCCTTTAGCAGACTTTGTGACATCTCCCCACACACAGAGACTAGGAGAAATCTCAGCTCAACTAAGTGCAACTCAATCCAACTCAATCTAATTCAATTCAGCAGTGCAGGAGCTCAGAATGTCATGAGACTGTCGAGGAATCTTAGGCTGAGAAAGCCAGAGTTTCTAGGACTAGGGAGGTGATAAATTCCACAGCACTCTCCCCTGGTCACTCTGCCTTAGTAATGTCCTATTCCGTCCTGGGTGTCACATTAGAGAAAGAACATTGACAAGCTGCAGAGTTTAAAGGAGAAGACAAGTGATAACATGTGACTTTTTTTGATAGGAGGGGGCAGGGGAAAACGATAGTGATTTAAGAGTATTTGCAAGACCAGCAGATAGAGTGAAGAAATAACTTTAGGTATGATGGTAGAAAAAATGTATACGCCTTAGACTTATCTGAAAGTAGGAAGGACTGCCTGGGGAGGTGATGTGTCCCCCCTCACTGACTTTTCAGAGGAAGATTGGATGACCTCTTGTCAGCCAGCAGGACGTAGCAAAGGATTTTTCTCAATTATGACTTGGACTGCATGGCCTTTGATGTTTCTTCCAACTCTGAGACTTGGCGATTCAATGATTTAATAAGGCACTTTGCTCAGGATAAAGAAGGCTGTCCACCTGTCCTTGGAGGCTGCCTTAATGTTTTCCCTGGGGAGAGAACATTGAAAGGATGACAATATGGGGCAGCTAGGTGGCACAGTGGATAGAGTGGCACTGGAGTCAGGAGAACCTGAGAAGAAGGAGAAGAAGAAGAAGAACAAGAACAAGAAGAAGAACAAGAAGAAGAACAAGAAGAACAAGAAGAACAAGAAGAAGAAGAAGAAGAAGAAAACTCAAGGAGAAAGAGAACGTGAATGACTAGGGGAATCAACAAAGGACTCCTATAGGTGGCAGCTGAGTTGAGCCTTGAAGGAAGTTTGGGATTCTAAGAGGCAGAGGAGAGGAGGGACTACATTCCAGGTTTGGGGGATGAGCACTGAGTTTGGGGAGGAGCAAGTAGGTCAGTCTGGCTATAAAGAAGAGTGTGTGAATGGGTATAATACAGTGAAATAAGTCTGGAAATAGACTCCCAGACCGCAAGGAGCATTAAAAGCCAGGTGAAGGCATTTCATTTTATCCTAGAAGTATTAGGGAACCACTGAAGCTTCTTGAAGAGTGGCTGATCATTGTCAGATCTATGCTTTAGGAAGGTTATTTTTGTTGTTGGGGTTGTTTTGGAGGCAGTCAGGGTTAAGTGACTTACCCAGGGTCACACAGCTAGTACGTATCTGAGGCCAGATTTGAACTCAGGTCCTCTACACTTCAGGGCGGGTGCTCTATCCACTGCACCACTAGGAAAGTTATTTTAACAGCTATGTAGATATTGAAGGAGAGAAACTGGAAGCAAGGAGGCCGGTCAGGAGACCATTACAATGACCCAGATTAGACAATTCATCTATCAATCCATCAGTCAATCAATAAATATTTATTAAGTGACTACTATGTGCCAGGCACTGTGCTAAGCACTGGGGATACAAAAAGAGGCAAAAGTCCCTGCCCTCAAGGAGCTTAAAATCTAATGGAGACAATATGCAAACAAATGTATACAAAGCAAGCTATATACAGGATAAATAAGAAATAATTAATAGGGGGAAAACACTGGAATTAAGAGTTGGGTTGGGAAACTTCTGTAGAAGTGGGGATTGTAGTTAGGATTTAAAGGAAGCCAAGGATGTCAGTAGTCAGATTCATGATCATATGAATGGATAGTCTTGTGAGGGAAGAGAAGAGGATGGATGGGAAAGAAATTACAGAAGTAAACTTAGAAGGCTTGACAATTGATTGGCTATGGGGGAGAAGGGAAGGATGTCAACTACAAGGGAATGTATAGGGTATTGGTGTATTAAGTGTATAGGTGAAATGCAAAAATTCCTTCTGCAATTCAAATAATTCCCTGTCTCCTCCTATTTTTTACTGCTTCATAAGTAGAGGTTTTTATATACCATTTTTTAAAAAGCAAGGCATAGTTCCATTGGGATAAATTCCATCCTTGAATTCCCAAGACCAATTTTGGTTTTATATTTTCTTTTTAAATTGTTGCTGTTTCTTTTTTTTTCTCTCTCTCTTTCATTTAATCAGTTATTTACGCTATTCAAGTCTCAAAGATTCAGGGAAACTAAAATTACCTGTTATTCTGGGAACTATATTCTAATGATTACTGACAATATCAAAGTCCCGAGATGTTCTTTGGGTTGCTAAATACATTGGGAAAGCCTTGGTACTGGCTTGCAGACAGTACTTTATAGAAAAGCACAGAGTGGTTTCCAGCCCATTTTTTTTATAAAAGTAAGCAAAGAGTTTTATGAAAACCCTAAAAGGAAAGGACTTGCCTTCATCTAAGATAATTTCCCTGAGTTTGGCAATGACGAGTCAGGCAGACAGAAACAAAAACAAAGGGAAATTCTTGGAGGCCTGAATTTGAAGTCAAAGGATCTGAGTTAAAATAGAAGGCCTGGTACTTATTACTTATGTGACTTCGGGTGGCCTCAGTTTCTTTTTTTTTTCTTTTTGGTGAGGCAATTAAGGTTAAGTGACTTGCCCATGGTCACACAGCTAGTAAGTGTCAAGTGTCTGAGGCTGGATTTGAACTCAGATCCTCTTGACTCCAAGGCCAGAGCTCTATCTACTGTGCCACCTAGCTGCCCTCCACTTTCTAAGAATTCTTCCAGGTGCTGTTTAAAATGGAAATGACTTCAGTTATTTTTATTGTTGTTCAGTCATTTCCAACACTTTGTCACCCCATTTGGGATTTTCTTGGCAAAGATACTGGAGTGGTTTGCCATTTCCTTCTCCAGCTCATTTTACAGAGGAGGAAACTGAGGCAAACAAGATCAAATGATTTGCCCAGGGTTACACAGTTAGTAAGAATTTGAACTCAGGTCCTCCTGACTCCAAGGACAGAGCTCTATCCACTGCGCCACCTAACTACCCCAAATTATGGATTATCTTTTTTTTTCTTTTTTTTTCTGGCATCAGTTTCTTCATCTGGAAAATGTAGTAGGGGACAGATAATATCTAAGGTCCCTTCCTGATTAAGATCTAGAATCCTAGAGTGTTATTTGTTGGGAAACGTCTCTTTAGGAGATCTCATTTTTGTAAATGGAACAAGTTTCTTTCAACTAGTTGATTTTTCATAGTTTCAGAGCTGCAAAGGGCCCTTAGAGATAATCTAATCCAACTTCTGCATTTTACCTATGAGAAAACTAAGGGGTTAAGTGACTTGCCCAAGGTTACACAGGTAGTAAGTACCAGAGCTCATATCTGAACTCAGTTCTCTGACTCAAGATTCAATGTTTTTTTTTTCCATTATACCATGGTTGGGATTGATTAGCAGATTTTGAAGATTTAAATGGCCAATTTCATCCTTTTGCAGATTCTCTTTGTGTGCTGTCTTCCTGTATTAGAACTTAAGCTCCTTGAGGCCAGGGGCTGTTGCTTGCTTGTATTTTAATCCCTACTGCTCATCACATAGTAAGCACTTAATAAGTGAGCCTGGAGTCAGGAAGATTCATCATCCTGAGTACAAATCTGGTTTCAGATTACTAGCTATGTGACTCTCTGCAAGTCCCTTAACACTGCTTGCCTCAGCTTCCTCATCTGTAAAATGAGTTGGAGAAGGAAATTACAAATCACTCCAGTATCTTTGTCAAGAAAACCCCAAATGCAGTCATGAAGAGTGAGACATGACTAAAATGACTCAACAACAAATGCTCTATTGTATTTTTAATTATTTTTAAACATTTCCCAATTAAATTTTGGTCTGGTTGGTCAGCCCTCTGAGTGCTGGGGGCAGTGTGTTTGACTCCCCTATACTACACCATGTAGCCTCTGTGCTAAATCTCTTCTCCTTCTGGCCTCCCTTCCCTTTCTTCATGATGTAATGGAGGCAATTAGAGGAACCCTTAGACCTGCAATGGCTATCACACACTCCATGGAGTATTTATGGAGCTGAAATAAGTTTCCCTGGCTACTTTGGGAAGCACATATGCCTAGCACTGAAGGTTTTTGGGATATTTCATCAATTCTTTCATTACCATGATACCAACAGAGGGATGGGCTGTTTCAATGAGGACTGGCTACTTCGTCAGGAAGAACTGCCCACTTAGACTTTAAATGGAGAGACAACTCATCTTTTTGCACTCTTCTTCTTCCTTTCTGAATAGGTAGCCTATGGCATGCTACTTAGACAACTCTCCCTTGGATTTCCCATGGTGGGGGGTGGGGCAAGGGGGGGTGGGATACATCTCTTCCCCAAGTAAGGGGCTCAGCCCCCACAACAGGATGTGCACAGGAGAGCTATCTGAGCCTCTGGCCATACTATAATCATTTTGATTCTATAACCAACCCAAGAAGGGCACTATTTTCCTTTCATGAATTTTTTCTGCTGGTCATTTCCTTTTAATATTCAAACCTTGGGTCACCTCCACTGTACATCTTTTCTGCTGAGCACTGATGATTCAGACTAAAACTTAATTGGAAAATGCTTTAGAAAATAATTAAAAATACACTAGAACATAGATAATGTGAACATGTGATTTTCTAAGTCAATCTGCTGCCTGTAGGAATACTTATGTACAATTTATTGGCCTGTTTCTATTTGAGTTTGACACCCCTGGTGTAATGGATAGAGAGTTGGCCTCAAAGCCAAACATGAAATTGCAAAGAATCATTCTCACTGCAACCATGTTTTCACAATTGATTTTCTGAGCAAAACCAACCTAGCCTATTATTACAGATTATTATTACATTATTACAGATTCCAAATAAGTACCACCGAAATGAGTGGGATTTCAATGTAATGTGAACATTTTTTATTTTAGTCTGCATTCCCCATTCCAAAATTGCCAGAGAACTAGAATCAGATTAATGTTTTTTTAGTATGGTCATCATTTTTTTTGGTTTTTCTTTTAGTTGTTCAAGTAGGATTTCCATGTCTTGGAAAACAAGATGGAGTGGCAGCATTTGAAGTGAATGTGATCATAATGAACTCTGAAGGTGATATCATCCTCCAAACTCCTCAGAATGCCATCTTCTTTAAAACATGCCAACAAGGTAATCACTGTTGGGTTGAGTAAAGATTACTGGGTCCACGAATATAATCTGGGTTAAGGGGAACTTGCCCTGTATTTGACACATTCTGGTTCTATTTATAGGATAACCTTGTAAACTACTATTATGTTATCTACTAGGTCTTTTTTTTTTTTCCAAAAAAGTTTTTTTTTCAAGTTGTCACAAAAGCTCTACAATATGTTAGCTAAAAAGCACTAGGATATTAGAAGCAGTGTGTTCTTGTGGAATCCTGATCTGGTATCAGAAAGACGTAGGTTTAAATTCTTCCTCTGATTACATATGTGACAGCTATGTAACCCTAGACTAATTCCAGTTAACCTTGCCAGGCAACATTTTTGTTTTAGTTTTTTAGTTTGTTTGTTTTTTTAATAGCATTGAGTTTCTACCTGCTTTCAATAGTAACCAATGAACATAAACATTTCCTATTATGTTGAAGGATCAGAAGTTCTATCTCCAGGGACAGCTAGCTGGTGCAGTGGATAGAGCACTGACCCTGGAGTCAGGAGGACCTAAGTTCAAATCTGGCCTCAGACACTTGACACTAGCTGTGTGACCCTGGGCAAGTCATTTAACCCCATTGCCTCCCCCCCCCCAAAAAGTTCTGTCTCCAGATGGAGAAACCAAAAGAGAAATTCCTTTCCCAAAGATCTGGATTCAAAAGAGTTTTGAGATGTCATTTAATCCAACACCCCCATTTTGCAGATGAGAAGAGTGAGGGCTTAAGTGACATGTCTAGGGTCACACAGGGAATAAGTGATAGAGAGCCAAGATGTGAAACCAGATCTTCTGACTTGAAATACAGCAGTTTTTCCTCTCTATCACATTTCCCTCTTCCTACTAAGAAAGCTATAGGGCCATTAATAAAAACTCACTCCCCATATCTGAGTCTCAGATCATATCCTAAAGGAGGAAAATATCTGAGTGTGCATCTCAGATTCATTGGAAATGGGAATAGTGTGTGTGTGTGTGTGTGTGTGTGTGTGTGTGTGTGTGTGTGTATGTGTGTGTACTGGGGAGGGGACGACCAAATAAAGGACAAAAGTAAGAAGAGCATTGCCATGCAAATGTGGCATAACCAACATTTTGTATCTCACATCTTAAGAAAGGAAGCAAATAAGAAAGTGGAAGTAGTAGATGCCCAAAGGCAGTATATGAAAAGAAGTTTGGAACCGTGAGAATGGGCAGAGAAGCATAGAGATGTACGTGATTCAGGGCCACTGTTCTACATCTTCTACTGCAATAACAATTTCCAGTCTTTAGGGCTGTCCAAATCTATTCCCATTTGTTGGATTCTGCGACACTCCTGTTTCCTATCTTTTCTTCCTATACCCTCTCAAACTGCTGAATGGCATGTTTTTCTCTTTGTAATTTATATTTTTTAAATGAGAATTTTGAGATGTCTCATAGGATAATTAGAAACACCCTGAGTTTTTGTAAAATCAGAGTTGGGAATTATCACCTTTGAGCAGGAATTCTTAATTTGAGGTCCATGGAATAAGATGCATAGATACGAGATAAAGATAAACATATAGAGATAGATGGAAATAGATGTATATAGAGATAGATATAAATATAGATAGAGAGATAGAGATAGGTAGAGATACATAGATGGATAGAGATATAGATACAAAGAGACAGAAATAGATATGATTACATAGCTAGATATAGAGCCATAGAAATAGATATATATAGACACATGTGTATCTGTACATATATGTGTATCTGTACACATATGCATGTATATGCAAATATATACATATACAAATGTGTGCATATGTATATATGTGTGTGTGTATATATGTATATGTATGTATGTATGTATGTGTGTATGTATGTATATCCTAGGTGTCCCAGTGGATAGAATGCTGGGCCTGGAATGAGGAAGACCAGAATTCAAATCTAGCCTCAGACACTTACTGTGTGACCCTAGACAAATCACTTATCTTCTATTTGCCTCAGTCATCTGGAGAAGGAAATGGTAAACCACTCCAGAATCTTTTCTAAGAAAACCCGATAATGGGATCACAAAGAATCTGCCACAACTGATCAACTCAACAATAACAACAATATGTGTATATATATAAATGTTTATAGATAGCCAAATATTAATGTAACTAGTTTCCTTTGTAATGCTAAATATTTTATTTTATGAATTTAAAACATTATTTTGAGAAGAGGGCCACAGGCTTCACCAAACCATGGCCGAAGGGGTCCATTAGATTACTCCACCTTAGAGCCTATCCAGAGGATGGCTATCTTGATAAGCCTTTCCACTTTCCACTCCATTATTTTCACTGCTGAAATTGAAGGTCAAGGGGAAAAGTGCCCAGGATATAAATACTGCATAGAGGTTGCTATGGAATAGCATTCCATAGGCTAATAATATATGTAGAACTTGAAGATACCTAAGATGTTATAGAGCCCAGATCTCTCATTTTACAGATAGAAAAACTGAAGTTCATAGAGGTCAAATGACTTGCCCAAGTTACAATTGTAGTCTATGTGTCAGAATCAGGATTTCAGCTGAGGTCCCCCACCTTCAAATCTAGTACTTTTCCCACTGAATCAGTGTTTATTATTCTAGTGATTTAAATGAAGTTTTTAACTTTGGTTCAGTTTTTGCAATTTGAATTGAGAGCTTATTTTTCTGGATTTAAAAATTTGAATTCTTATTTGGAAAGAAGTGGCCAGTGCCAGGACTAAAAACAACTTAATAAGACAGAACCAATTTTTTAATGGAAAATTCCACAAAGATGTTTTAAGTGGTTATAAACATGATATTTCATGTCTCCTCCAGTTTCTTCTTTTCCAATTGTTTTCTGACAACTTTTAAAAGACCCATAGTAGAGAAGATATAGAGAAATCTGTTTTTCCCCTGTAGAGGACAGCAGTCTAGTTATAGATAAGCTCACTTGCTTTCATTTTTTATCATAAATAAAACCTCTTGAAATACAAAGGAATGCTCAAATTAGATCACACTTGTATACTTTAGACAGTACAGTGCCAGAACTAAAATAATAATAACATTACGGAGGGTGGGGCAGAGCCAAGATGGTGGAGGGAAAGCAGTGACTGTCTTGAGCTCTCTCCCAAAGCCCTCCAAATACCTATAAAAAATGGCTCTAAACAAATTCTAAAGCAGCAGAACCCACAAAAAGACAGAGTGAAACAAATTTCCAGCCCAAGACAACCTGCATGGCTGATCAGAAAGGTATATCGTGCCGGGCTGGGAGAGAAGCGCAGTTCGATGTGGGCACGCAGGCCACAGTGACCCTGGAGCAGGCCTCAGAGGATTGAATCACAGGCAGCTGTGGCAGTTTCCAGACTTCTCAACCCCTGAACACCAAAGACAACTTAGAAGGTCAGTGGGAAAAGTCTGTGACTGCGGTGAGAGAGGAGCTAGGTCTCAGCCTCAAGTCTCGAGCGTGGCCCAAGGCTGCAGCTTTTGAGCTTCTGGCCCACAGACTGAGGGGGAATCCAGTGGCTGATCAGAGGGGGATTGCAGGGATCTCTTTGCCAGTGCTGAGGCAGGAGTCTCTTGCTTTGCCCATGCTCAGATCTGGGTCACAGTTCTGAGGGGCGGTCCTGGGGCTAGGAGGAATGCTGGTGCAGTGGAGCTTGTTGTGGTGGTGGAGAGAAAACACCTCGCCCCTTATCATAGCACCTTGGAAGAAATGAAAATTTACAGGTCCCTAGAAGTACCTCTGAAAACAGCTGTACAAACCCCTGAAGCTTGGGACAGTACACTCTTCACATTGGAAGCAGACTTTTACCTTAACAAAGAGTTTAAAACTCAAGTAATTGGTCAGGATCATGAGCAAGCAGTGCAAAAAGAGTCAGACTATATTATCTTACTTTGGTGACAAAGAATATCAAAACATACAACCAGAAGAAGAAAACAAAGTCAAAGCTCCTACATCCAAAGCCTCCAAGAAAAATATGAATCAGTCCCAGGCCATGGAAGAGCTCAAAAGGGATTTTGAGAAGCAAGTGAGAGAAGTAGAGGAAAAACTGAGAGTGATGCAAGAAAATCATGAAAAACAAGTCAACAGCTTGCTAAAGGAGACCCAAAAAAACCACCTTAAAAAATAGCCTAACCCAAATGGCAAAAGAGGTCCAAAAAGCCAATGAGGAGAAGAATGCCCTAAAAAGCAAAATTGGCCAAATGGAAAAGGAAGTCCAAAAGATTACTGAAGAAAATACTTCCTTAAAAATTAGATAAGAGCAATTGTAAGCTAGTGACTTTATGAGAAATCAAGACACTGTAAAACAAATCCAAAAGAATGAAAAATTAGAAAACAATGTGAAATATCTCATTGGAAAAACAACTGACCTGGAAAATCGATCCAGGAGAGATAATTTAAAAATTATTGGACTATCTGAAAGCCATGATCAAAGAAAGAGCCTAGACATCATCTTTCAAGAAACTATCCAGGAAAACTGTCCTGATATTTTAGAACCAGAGGGCAAAATAGAAATTGAAAGAATCCACCGATCTCCTCCTGAAAGAGATCCCCAAAGGAAAACTCCTAGGAATATTGTAGCCAAATTTCAGCGTTCCCAGGTCAGGGAGAAAATATTGCAAGCAGCCAGAAAGAAACAATTCAAGTATTGTGGAAACACAATCAGGATAACACAAGATTTAGCTGCTTCTACATTAAGGGACCACAGGGCATGGAATATAATATTCTGGAGTGCAAAGGAGATAGGATTACAACCAAGAATCACCTACCCAGCAAAACTGAGTATAATCCTGCAGGGGAAAAAATGGTCATTCAGTGAAATAGAGGACTTTGAAGCATTCTTGATGAAAAGACCAGAGTTGAATAGAAAATTTGATTTTCAAATACAAGACTCGAATGGAACATGAAGAGGTAAACAGGAAAGACAAAATCATAAGAGACTTATTAAGGTTGAACTGTTTACATTCCTGCATGGAAAGATGATATTTGTAACTCATGAGACCTTTGTCAGTATTAGGG